TAACACCTCAGCAGTGCCACAGGCTGATAGCATCCATGCCACGCCGCATTGCGGCAGTCATTGCCGCCAAAGGGGCCCAAACCAAGAACAGAGTGCATATGCCTGTTTATACTTTGCATAGGTCTGATATTGTTCTATTTCCAATCCTTGTGTTATTGATGTCATGTAATATTCTAATTTTCTGAGATTGTGAATTTGGGGTTTTCATAAGCTGTATGCCATAATCATCACAATTATACCAAAGTAAGGCTTGACATATCTTGCTTTGCATGTAATGCGTCTATCTCATATATTGGTTTCACCTTTTGAGTTGCCTTACTGACATAAATGAACATTTGCATGATATTCTAATTTTTCGAATTTCACCTGTAGTTTATACCAAAGTAAGGCTTGACATATCTTGCTTTGCATGTAATGCGTCTATCTCATATATTGGTTTCACCTTTTGAGTTGCCTTACTGACATAAATGAACATTTGCATGATATTCTAATTTTTCGAATTTCACCTGTAGTTTATGTATTGCTTGGTGTGGCATGATGGGAGTTGTAATCCAGTACAGCCGGAAACTATCATACTGGGGAAGACTAATCTACTCTGGACATGCACATAAATTGAATCCACAGTCTCAATGAATTAAACCAAACCCAAAATATAAGTATCATTCAGAAACAATTCCCCAGGCACAGATCTTACCTCTCAATCAAAAGCTAAAGCATTTTGAATTAAATCCTGGTTGGTTTGTATGGAAAAGCTCATAAAGGACTTCAAGCGCAACTGCTACAAAACAATGTATGCTACAAACAGCATGGGATCGGTAATGGCTTTTGTAACTATATTCAAATTAAGAAAATTTAATTTTTTAAAATAAGGTTCCCTTGTATTCTGTAAACTCAGTAACGTCATGCTCTTAATACAAGTGTGCTACCCCAGACTGAAACATCTTAGATGCAGGTCACGGAGCCATGTGTACTGTACTCCTTGTGCAATAGTCACCGACAATACTAATTCGTTTTTTAAAGTTATTATTAAATTGTTATTCAAGCCATAGTGCGCTAGTGGATTCATGTACTGTGTTAAAATTATTAGGATGTTAAGTATCCCACATTTTGCTATGTTAACATATGCCTAACTTATGTCATATGCAGGCATTCCACTGAGGCCGTTCAGTACAGTTCAGAGACCACTGGAAAGCTACGCGCAGGAATCACTTGCTCCATTTAATGAACAAGAAAGCGCTCACTATTGTACCATCCAAGCCTCCTCAGGATGCATAAATAAATGCCAGACTCCCCCCTCCCCCAGGGGGGACAGCTGTATGCAATGATGCTGAAGAGAACAGTGTAGCTTTTGCTCTGATCTTGTCTTTTAACAAAAAACCTCAGAGATGGTATATGAAAGCCTAATGTGTGAGTTCTGTTTTAGCTACAATCTGTTCCAATCTCTATGTAAATATATATTTTTATATATTCCAAGGAAATGTATTTGATTGTGGAGATGCAACCATCATCCTCTGCCGTCTCTTGCTCCTATATTTCTTCTTGTGTTGCTTATACTGATCCACAGTTCCAGTGCCAGTTAATCAGTGTTAATTAGCTCCTATTTAAGTTGCATTAAAAAGAAATCCCTTACATTGATCAGCATGGTTAGCAGATAGGGTGCTACAGGCTAGATTCTTACCTACTGCTCCATAGGTGCTCAACAAGGTTCTGGTAGATCCAGGCATTATGACTGGTTTTCTACATATCCACTCCCAGTCACCTTTTATGCTTCCTGAAACAGATAACTGCTAAGTGGAATATGTACCTCAGTATTTTATAGCAGTAGAACTGTTTATAATAATGCTATCCAACTGGAACAAAAGACTTTTTTTCAAAGAGTGTTTTCATTCTTATTTTTAGAATATTCTGTTAAGAATAGGAAGAGCATTATTAATATTAAATTGTGAAGCAAAAGAATGTCATTCCTTAAAGTTATGTCAATACATTTTGATTTAGGAATTAGAAAGCATGTGATCAAAACAGAAGACAACCAGGCTGATGAAGCTGGTATTTCAGATGCAGAGGAGGTACTAGCATCGAAAGGTCCGATGTAGGTTCCATCAGTCCGAACTTTAATGACAAGGATTTGAACCTGGAAATAAAAGCAAGGCCTCCCAGCCCTCAAGAATGCAAAGGCCTACATCTAACTCTGTCACAAGAGTACTGTAGTCACTTATCAAGGAAGACTGATGAAAGGAGATGATGCTGTGCGGTATCTGAGTCCAACAAATAAAGGCAGCAGAGCGTCAGCTGCACCTGAATAAAGAATACTGAGAAGTGATATATTTATGGCAACTCAAAAGACATTTTGCTTTGCTGGAATAATTTTGCTGGTAGTCTAGTACTGGTGTCAAGATCCTCTTGCCTGTGTTTTTGTGATTCCTTTACCACTGGACTGGACTGGACTATGGCCTGCACCATACCTCTTGAAACTCTGAAGTCAGACTGCATATTGTAACCCTGGGTGCTGCTGCTGCTTAACCCCTGCAACACTGATGAGAGGACTCAAGTAGTAATTCCCTAACCGAGTCTTCCTATACTGTAAAAACTTATATATACTGCCTTATAGAAAGCACACTGGTTCAGAGAACCAAAGAACTGCAGCTAGATGGTACACATATAGGCATTATTATGGATTTGGAGAATACAGAGCAAACAAGATAAAAAGGAGTAATAAAACTGGATCTCTTTTTTTCTCTCTTTACAAGTAAACTTGCCTAAACAAATTCTAACAGAAGAGCCAGACATATGTAAGAGCAGCATCTGATCTACTCTACACCTTTTCCCCAAGTACAGGCAAGCATTTCCATAGGCATGGTTCTAGAAAGAGATAAAATTCACTGGCCAACTACTCATGTCAATATCAGAAAATAATTCTCCCTCCCCAATTATATCTGTTTTTAGAAGAAAAGATGCAACAATGGTTGAGACTCAAAGCCAGAAAGCACCTGAAAATCCATAGCATCCCCTTCAAATTTTTCTGAAGCTACTCTGAAGTACCTTAATTACCTTGGAGATTCAATTCAATGATTCAGTTTGAAGGCGTGATATTCTATATAATTAAATCATCCCTTCAAAGCTTTGTGCAGCCCTGGTAAAGATTCAGTTCTTTACTTTGAAGAACACTACAGCAAAACATAGCATATGTGAAAGTAAATTGTTCCAGTGCTTGATGGTACTCTTGTATTTACCAGTGCAATTCATAAATCTAAGGTAGCAAATTCTCTTTATCTACTTTTGCGTTTTTCACATGGATTGTCCAGATGTTGTTGCTACTGCTTGTATATTTATTCCTATTGTACCTTAAACTTCAGAAATTCAGCATTTATACCATAACAGAGTATTCAGCAGGTCTTCTGTCTGACTTGAAGTGTACATAGGACACCTTTGGATTCTCAGCAAGGCTCCTCCAACTTAATGTCTTTGTAGTTAGCTACAGTGAAAAATTACTTTGACTTGTAAGCAGAATTAAGCCTAGGATTTTGCCAATTTTAGTGTTCTCTCAAGCTCTTGAAGCTGTAGGTTGCCCTGCGTGATCATCATCTTAATTGTATCCTGTAAAGCAGAAATGTTATACTTAGTAGGCAAAGCAAAGTAATAAAACAAATAATCATGAAAGGATGGCTCTTCTTCCTCACCAGAGCAACTATTCAAACTGGAAAGAATTATTCAGCAAGGCAATGGATTTAGGTTATTTTCCTTTCAAAAGACAGAATCCCAAGGCAGGATTTGCTTAGCTCACTTCCCTTAGTTGAAATTAGTTCCTGTACTCAGAATTCTTAAATTCGAAGTATATGCCATTTCACCAGGTTCCAGATACTGGCTCTTGGAAATCCCTCAAAATGTAAATATGAAGTCACTTTTTCTATACTATAACCAGCTTTGGAAGTTCTTTTAAGGGGAATTAATATTCCAAAAGCCATTTGACCCACAGACAAGCAACTGCATAGCACCCATAATCCATTTTCCAATCCCCATCTAATGTTCTAAGCAAGCTGTATGGAAGCCTCACAGAAGACAGGAGGCAGAAGTTCGGGCCCAGCTACCAGCTGTAATGTTCAAGCGCATCAGATTTTGAGAACTCTCTTGCCTCATCTGTAGCCTCTTTATTCCTTTTGAAATCTTCCCTTGCCCAGTCTCTCATGTAACGACGATCAGCTTCACTGGGGACCTGACGA